GATTATAACTGGATAGCTGTCAGGGTTGCAACTAACCTTTACCTGATTAAGGTAAAGGCTGCTTGTCGAACATACACCACTAACCAGATAAGCAAGCTTCAAATCAGCAGGCGGAGTTATTCCATATAGTGCGCAACCTATCCAGATTTGGTCTGGGTGATGGGCCTCCCCCTAGTTTTTCACCAGACCAATTTGCAGCCTTTTAAAAATCTAAAGTTGAGGCCATCCGCCGGGAGCTCTCTCCTTTTTTGAACAGTGAGCCGAGCTGAGACGTCCAGCTCTCCGTCTTCTCTGGTAACTTTTGATTCCTTTCAGCCTATGACGCCTGATACTGGGGACAAGGTGCTTGATTGCTGTCGGGCCACCACCTCCTCCCTTGACCCTTGCCCAGCCTGGCTAATCAAAGCAGCCAGGCCGATAACAGAATGGGCCACAGCAATAATAAATGGGTCTTTCCTTGAGGGCAGGTTTCCACCTGCCCTCAAGGAGAAGCTCATTAGGCCCATGAGAAAGAAACTTAATATGGTTATTGCAGTCACCCCTGTCTCCTTTGTTCTTATACAATGTGACAATGCTTGCATCCTTCATGTCCTGTGGTACTCCACCTTCCATCCAGCAAAGACAAAAGATTTCATACAGCTCAGTGGTGATGATCTCTTTACAGCACTTCAGTGGGGATGTTATCCTTCCCAGGTGTCTTGCCGGAGGTGAGGGTATCTAAGGCCGCTTTTATTTCTGCTATAGTTTGCAGTCCAACTCTTCCAAGACAGGCAGGCACTCAATGTTATCTAGTGCTTCTTCGGTTACTACATTTTCTCTAGAATATACCTCGGAGTAGTGCTGCACCCAGCTTTCCATCTGCTGTGCTCGGTCCTGGATGATCACGTCTGTAGCAGACTTCAAGGGAGCATATTTCTTCTGCATTGGACCTAAAGCCTGCTTGATATTGTCACACATTCCCTTGATGTTACCTATGTCCACTGCTATCTGTATCTGAGAGCAGAGCTGAAACCAATAATCGTTCCAACGATTATATTTACAACATATACAGTTTTAGCAGTACAAACCAGCAGCATGACATTCATCAGAAGAGATCCTTCATCTTCTCCACATGACCACATATGCATATAGCCAATCAGTAAAGACATTGCATCACCCCAGACACTACTTCCTTTAATACACATTCTACATGATGCAGCATTTTGCACACCTGTCAAATATGACTGATTATTATAGGCCTTGTTCTGCCTCAGTGTGGAAATTATCCTTGACACCCCTCTTAATTTACACCTGAGCAGAACATACTCCCAACTCTTTAGTTAACTCTCTGTCTTTGCACACTCAGTAGTTTAGTTAGAATGTCTGCTACATTCTTTTCTGTTTCACAATACTGCAGTTGAATTAGTTTTTCTTTTACTGCCTCTCTAACATTGTGATATGTAATACCAATGTGTTTGCTTCTTCTCATTTTTTTCTGTGGCTGCCATCTGTATACATGTAGTGTTGTCCTCAAACACTGTTATGGCCTGATCCACTTTAGTTTTCAGATCTATAAGCACTTGCTTATACACCAGTTCTGAACACACTTCTGAAGGAGCAGCAAATTCTGCCTCAGCAAGTGGCAACAGAACCTTGCTTCCTTGATTTCCATCCCACCAATGTCTCAGCAAACTTTATTGTGAAACCTGATACTGATTTCCTATCAGCCATATTGTTGGCCGAATCACTATCTATATAAACCTTTAATTTTAAATCACTGGAGGGATGTATTAACAAACATGTGCCAAGGGTACCTTTTAAGTATCTAAATACTCTTTTCACCCCCAACCAGTGTTTCTGTTGGTTTTGCAGTATGCCTACTCAGAATATTAACTCCTGCAGCAATATCTGCCCTTGTCCAGTTTGCTAGATATTGTAAACTCCTAATTGCTGATTGGTACACTTCTTGTTCTTCAAACTCTTTGCTTTCATCATTTGACTTTTGAAAATCTACTGTCATGGGTGTACACTTTTAAAGTCCTGCATGTTGTATTTTATTAGCACTTCCTCTATGTTCAATCTCCGATTTACGACATAACCATTGTCTTTTTCCTAAATTTGAACCCTGAAATAATTCTGTATCTGGCCTAGGTTCTTTAGCTTGAACTCTTTTTAAAATTGTTTTCCAAACAGATCAATTTGAGCTTGTTCTTTTGACATAAAGCATGTCATCAACATATGCTAGCAAAATATTTTGCTCTTTTCCATTTTCTTGAACATAAAGACATGGGTCTGCCAGGCTAAATTGCCTTGTTTACTTTATACACCATCCCTGGTTGAGAATACTCAAACCCAGGTGCCTGAACCATGTATAGCTCTTCTTGCAGATCTGCATTTAACTATGCTGTAGTTATGTCAAAATGACTAACTAGGTAATTTCTTGAGGCAGCCAGAGTTAATGCTAGCTTCAAAGATTCTGCCTTTATTGCTGGGGGAAAAACATCATAGTGTACATTTTTTCTTTGTGTGTATCCCTGAGCCACAAATCTGGCTTTGTACCTATAATCCCCATTGATCTGCATTTTTCTTTTGTAGACCCATTTGCTTCCACTTGCTTTGTGTTCTTGTGGCAATGTGGTTTCCGTAAACATTCTATGGTCATCCATGGATTGTAACTCTTCTTTCATGGCTTGTTGCCATTTCATTTTCTCTGTCTCGGGCAGAAGCAACACTTGATAATTCTTCAGTTCATGGAACATGTGACAAACTCTTATTTCCCCCCACACCAAACTTCGATGGAGGTACTCCTTTGTTAGATCTTTCTGACCTTCTGAGAACTCCTGGTTCTTCTTTAATGACAGGCTCTCTGCCGCACTACATTCCTTATCATCTACCTCCGAGTTGCTGGGACCTGAGCTTCTTTCAGCCTCTTGCTTTGGAGCCACCTCCATTCCCTGAGGTTTTTCACCATTATTGGTAGGTATGAACACTTCTGAGTTTGCATGAACCTTGTCCCAATGTTCATGTTCACAGAAATTGGCTGATCTGGCATGACCGAGTCTCCTGTGCATCAAATGAGCACACTGGTCATGTGGTGGTGTTTTTGACTATGGCATGTGTTACTTTGTTTTGTGTTCTTCCCTTCAGTACATATAAATTATTTTCAAGTTTTGTTGTGGCACACACCGTTCCCTTTCTTAATTATACATATGCTATCAGCAAATGTAACTGTAAACCCCTCCTTGTCCAAACATGAGACACTTACAGTATTACACTCTAAATTGGGCACATGCAAAACACCATGTAGTTCCTTTTTCAAACCTGGAATGTAAACTGTTCCCTCTCCCATTACTGATGATTTCTCTCCATTCGCCATGCTCACATAGCTGTGTTTTGAAGCACGTAGGGAAGAAAATAGCTCTGATTTATGAGTCAAATGACAAACAGCTCCAATTTTGAAAATTCGCTGCCAGTATCAGTAAGTTTTCTCCTTCTGTATTTGTAGTCATTCCACCTCCACCTGCACAACCATATCCATTGTGATTTGAACCTGTGGCCTAAATATCATGTCCGCATACAGTGGTGTCTCGCATTACGACGTTGATTTGTTCCAGCGAAATCGCTGTAGAACGAAAACGTTGTAATGCGAAAATAAAAAGCCCATTGAAACACATTGAAACCCCTTCAATGTGTTCCAATGGGCTGGAAACTCACCGTCCAGTGAAGATCCTCCATAGGGCGGCCATTTTCGGTGCCTGTGCAGCAAGGAATCCTTCCCAGAAAACAGCAAGGAGCCATTTTATTTACCTGGCGGCCATTTTGAAACCGCCAATCAGCTGTCCGAAAATCAGCGTTTTGCGAAGAATCGTTTCCCAAAGCAGGGAACCAATCATTGCAAAATGAAAAACCACTATTCAATTGCGATCGCAAGAAGATCATCGTAATGCGGTTTCGTTGTAATGTGGGGCAATCGTAAAGCGAGGCACGACTGTAAGTAGATTAAAGTCCTCAAAAGCTGATACCACAATAAATATTGTATTCGACAACAGTTGAACCACTTACCTTGGGAGTTGGTGAGTGCTCCAACACTGGAGTCATCCAAGAAAAACCTGGATAATCACCTGGCAGTACGCTTTGATTGTATTCCTGAGCTGAGCAAAGGGCTGGACTTGATGGCCTTGTAGGCCTCTTCCAACTTCACTTTTGTATGATTTTATGAATATGTTATGAAGCTGCCACAAGACATTATTTTGCTGTGTTTTTGTGCTGTTCATTAGGAAATAGTTCCAAAGATAAGTATCTGTCAGATCTCCTTTGATTTGGATTCCTGAATTAAGCAGGGAGTCAAACTCAATGGCCTTATATGCCCCTTCCAACTCCATTATTTTATTAGTCAATTATACTGAAAATACCTGAAAATCAAAGCTAAACATGGTAAGAAAACAGAAGTCGTAACCATACCTTTGTATAATATTTCTTTCCAGCAAAACACTGTACTGTAAATATATTTTCTATCTTGCAACCATTAATAATGGATCCCGTTGCAGGACGTACTGTAGTACTGCGAAGAACAATCTTCTCTCTTTCTACTCAATAAGTCTCCTAAAATGGAAGATCCTTAGTTCTACGAATCTTCCAAAAAATACTCCTGCTCACTGAATGTCAGATTTAAAACCCACGTTTGCTGGTATGTGTAGCTCAGTACTGAAATAACAATGTAATTATAACTCTTTCTCGCGCAATTGCAATAGAAACTGATTAACTTCTGATTGGCTTGTTGCTTTCAGGGAAAGAGAATTTTTTTCTAGTACAGAAAAAAGACTGCAGACTTCAGGTATGAAGGATATTTCTATTTAATAATATATACTTTACCATTCTGCCCTCATGGCTATTACTTTTATGTCTTTCCACATAACAAGAGTTAATTCAAAACGAAGGTACTGTTAGTAGAACTGCTAACCAATATACAGATTTAGTTATTGTGGTGTTCGCCCTTCGTGCCCCCTTGCTTGACCGTCAAGACTCAGAACACTCGAAGGCAAACAATCCCCTCTTTTACACTGCTGCCACCAGGTGATCACTAAATCACCATTACTTCAGGAAGAGATTCAGTTCCACACTTTAAAGTCTTTTAAATATAACTTTTGTTTATCGATTGCAGAAATTGATACTGATTCATGAGTATCTTCTGTAGGTAAATTTATTATTAACAACAATCTTCTATTTGATAATACACTCCTAACTAATCACCTCTCAGATTTCTCCAAACTCCACACTCTATCTCCTTCTCCACCTTCTCACACTACTCATACTCCCTCTGACTGACTCTCAGGCTCCGCCTCTTATCACATCTCTCTTGGCTCTGCCTCTCAGCAACCTGAATATGCATGACCAATTAACATAACAAACATGAACCATTGACATAATAAAGGGCAACGTTACAGTTATGAACTAGGTGAAGGTAAAAAACGATACTCAGTCCAGATAAGATTGAGATGCTAGTTGTGGCTGGCTTGGTCTGTCCAATTTAGGAGTATGGAATTTGTTCTGGGAAGAGATTATATACCGCCTGAAGTAGCAAGTCTACCGTCTGAGAATACTCCATCTTTAAAGGCCCTTTCTCTGGTGTCCCTATCAAAATATTCAGCAGTGATCAAGAGGGAGGACCTCTATTGTTAAGCTATCAAGAATATAAAAAAACTGTCCAACAAGGCTCAGTTTGTGCCTACCCTGATACCATTCTGGAGCGTAAAGAAGCTCTCTATATCTTCCGATGCCTTTTAATTATATATTAAGTTTTCATTTGTACCCTTATGAATTCTACACTATTCCCTTTACAGATACTTAATTTTATTCATCAGTAGTGCTATTTTATGATACTTTGGTATTTTTGTTGTATTATTGTATTTTTATAGTTAACTGGAAAGCACTTCAGGCAAATATTCTGAAGTAAAAGTGTTTAAAATAAATAAAAATAATATATTTGCAACCTATTAGTTAAACAGAATCATTGTCCTCTAGAATTCAGCCAAGCAAAAACATCTTCACAAGCCCTATCCAATCTGTTGCTTGTTATTTAGATTTCATATGCAGAGATTTGCATATGAGTTTTACATTACCACTTTCCTAGTATCCTCCATCTATTCTTTCACTTGCCTCTACCCACAGAGGCAAAACATCCTCATACAGAATATTTACATAGACACTATTAACATAACATTCACATTCCCCACATAACATTGACCCACACCAACAGCTCATCAGCAGTCCCAACAATAGAAAATTTTTATTTCCCTAAAGTAGTCTTGTGCACCAATATTTTAACTATTGAGCAACTGAGAGGTTCGTAAGCATTCCATTAACAACTCTTCAGTTACACCTATATAGTCAAGTGCCAATACTCTCAAAGCCATCCACAACAGAGTTTTCAAAGACCACCTTTACTTCCATTTTTAATGAATTTATCAGACTTTTAAAATAAGCTGGGGAAACTACCATTTTCCTGCACACTTACTGATTTCTGTACTTTAATTTGATTATTTCATTTCTCCTTTCTACAGCTATTAACAAGTGCTATAAAAATAATTCAAAACTGGCTCTGACATTGCCAATAGGAATATAATACATCGAATCAACACCTATATGACATCCCCATGTGTAACAGGACCTCAATGTATCTCATTCCATGCAAGATCAAAATACTTGGAGCCACTCTGAGTTCCACTGCTATTGCGCTCTAACCATGCCTACCACCTGAGTTAACCAGGTAGTACCAAAAGAGACAGCAGTCCTAAGGAACTCAGGATCACAAGGGCATATGCCTTGCATTTTTGACAGCTTGTGGTGCAGTCAGATGTGAGCCATTTCCCAGCGATCATACGAAATATGGAGAATAGCATTTCAACCTAACCTTCATCTATGCTCATGATGGACCTTTTTAGTATAGCAGTAGGACTACTTTTTTGGGGGGGCAAGCTAGAGCAATTCCCCAATGGACATAAGGGTTTTTTAAGGGAGACTGCGCTCATCAAAGTGACCCTTTCTGGTGCAATCAGATGTGCACTTTTCTCACCATCCCATAGCAGCCTTCGGTCCCCCAGAGCTAAAACCGAGTTTTGCAGGACATTAGAATCTCAGTCCAAATAACCTTGGCTACTGCACCACATGGTAACATATATGCTATTCCCACAGGTCTGGCATTTCACCAGTTTGTACAGCCGTACTCCCACGACAGATAGGTCTCAAACCTGTGATGAAACAGATTCTACGTTTACACTATGCACATGTATCTGAAAGTATGTAACTGTGACACACAAGAGAACTGAACTGAAATGACCACCAGGCCTACTATGTGTCTAATCACTTAATGTAACATTTGGAAAGGAAGAACTTCATAGAGTCTAATACTTTACACTAATTCTTGTGATCTTCAACCATGAACACTTCAGTAATAAACACTGTGCTTATCATTTATCATTGGGTGTAAACATCCAGTTGATCAACCAGGAGATAGGCTAGGATTATGGAAGGTACAAAATATTATTTATTAAATAATTATCAGCACAAAGCACACACACACAAACTATAGGACTTCAGCTAATGAAGCGGGAACAGTAATCTCTCCCACCAACAGTAAGCCATATGTACTTTCAGAACCATGTACTTTTTGAGTATGTTTTTGAAACATTTATCCATCATACTTGGCACTGAATGTATTTCTAAATTAACAATCTCCAAGCAGTATTTTAAAAAAAAAAAAACTTACTCTCCCTTTACTTTATTCTCTTTTTAAGGATTGAATCAACAAAAGCTGAAACTGAAATAAATCTGTTAGTCTTTAAAGTGTTATGGTATTTTGCCTATCTTCCCCCTTTTATTTTGCCAACATGACTTCTCTTGTTCTCACTGTTGTTATTTTTAGCAGCCTTACATGTATTTCATTCTTAGATTATTCCAAATTACAATTCCATAATAAAACTCAAAAAGGCACTGAAGAATTTAAACATGTCTGACACCCCTGTAACACTCCAGTTTTACCCATCAGTTCAAAAGCACAACAGGGTGAGCAAGCATTAGGCATATTGTAGTGGATAAACATTGTTGATTAAATAACCAGACTCTTGCTTTAAAAAAAACCCATCTTTCTTAGCCTAAGATGGTAAGAAAAAAACAAGTCACACAGATGAATAAGATTCCAAGGAGTCCAAAGTCAATTTTCCAATGCATTATCTAAGGACCAGAAGGCTGGATTTCTTTGGAAGTATCAAGGAAAAGTGCGCGGGGGGGGGGGGAATTAGGGAATTAACCAATTCCCTATCAAAAAGCTTTGCCTGAATCTGAATCTGCTAGACTCCACTATCACAAAATCCAGTTAAGAAACTGCTAACATGATATAAAAAGGCCTTTTATTCTTGATCTTACTCCCTCACCCCTTTCTTTCTCAGTTATTCATTCTCTCGCTCTCGCTCTCTCTCGCTCTCTCTTTCTCTCTCTCTCTCTCTCTCACATACACACACACACAAAGACAGCTTACTGGCATCTGGAGAAAACATGGGGGCACATGGTATACATACACTTCAGCAAAGACAAATTCACAATAAAAGTGTGAAAGTTGCCTTACAGTGGCTAAAATCCTGTTAAGATTTTACAGTCGTGCAAAAGGAATACACAGCCACAAGTAACTGAAAAGTTGCCAAGCTGCTCACACATCAAGTTGCACTTTCATTCATTGTGGGGCACATGCCAGGCACCTCAGCAATGGCAGCAAAGACCCATAAGAACATACATGACTTCTCTTGACTACGTATAAAATCTCAATAGGATTTTGGCTACTGTTTTTCCTGTTTAAATTATATTGCTGGCTCTTAATATTTTAACATTGTAATATTTCACAATGTTGACACTGATTCAAGAAATGTATTTGTTTTATTACAATATAAACTCTTTCAATATTCCTTTTATTTCTTATATTTCTGTAAACAACATTTATTAATACAGTGGTGCCTCGAGTTACAAAATTAATCTGTATTGGAATGGTGGTCATAACTCAAAAGTTTTGTAAGTCGAAGCACCATCTACAGGAATGTATTGAAAACCAATTAATCTGTTTTGGCCGAAGAAAAAAATACCCCAAAAACAGAAAAAGAAAAAAGAAAATAAAGAGAGCAAGTCCCACACTGGGACTGCAAAAAAACAAAAACAAAAAACAAACAAATCCAAAAATAAACATTAGAGCAAGTCCCATGCTGGGACTGCAAAAAGAAATCAACAAAAAACAAAACAACAAAGAAACATAATTTCCCCCCCCAGCTCAAACCTACCCTCCCAAACCCACCTGGAACAACTTTTTTTAAAGGAAAAAGGAGCACCTTACCCGTCCGAAGCCTCCCGGGCTTCCCCGCTGCTGTGAGCACCACCGCCAGAGGCTTCCTGGGCTTCTCCACCACCGCTGGAGGCCTCCCGGGATTCACCGCTGCCATTGGAGGCCTCCCAGGGTTCCCCACTGCCGCCGGAGGCCTCCTGGGCTTGCCCGCTGCCGCCAGAGCCGGGATTCACCGCTGCCATTGGAGGCCTCCCAGGGTTCCCCACTGCCGCCGGAGGCCTCCTGGGCATGCCCACTGCCGCCGGAGGCCTCCCGGGGTTCCCCGTCACTGCTGGAGACCTGCCAGGCTTCCCCACAGCGGTGGCAGGTGGGGGAAGCCCAGGAGGCCTCTGGCAGCGGCGGACAGTGTGGCGGGGAAAGCTCGGATGCTGAGCCCAGTCGGGATAGTCCAGCGGCTCGCCTCCCGGTGGCGGTGGCAGCAGTAGTGGAAGCCCAGGAGGCTGAGCCTCCCTTTTCCTAACCGTTGGGGCGAAGAAGCAGCCTCTTCACCACCAACGGGTTGAATTTCCCACCCTTTCCCCCTGCCTTTTTTCGTCCGTAACTCGAAGCTCCAGTCACAAGTCAAAGCAAAATTTTGTGGCCGGAGCTTTTCGTAAGTCGAAATTTTCATAAGTAGGGACGTCCGTAAGTCGAGGCCCACTGTAAACTATATTATACCATAATTTTGCCATTAAAACTGTATGCTCATCATAGCAATTTTCCCAAAACATTTAAAAACAAAAACAAACAAATGGGAATAGTCAGGAAAAAATAGTACCAGTAGTAAAAGGAAAAAGATACCTAATTATTCTTACATTATTACTTTGAACATAGTTGTAGTTTTGAACTTATTGCCACTTTCTGTGCACTAGATCAGCAAGCCTGTACAGACACAAAAGTAAAATTCTGACATGTGCTTGTGATTTTTTTTTTTTGCAAAGCACTTCTATAAATAATAAAAAACTGACATTCTTCCTTCATTTTCCCCCACCCTGCTCTTGACACCATTGATTCTTCCTGCTATACTGGACTCCTCAAATTCACTAGCTATTTCTAGTGTAACTGTCTTCTCTCTGATTAATCTTTCTTTCCCCCTTCTACTCTAATCTACCTTCTTTCCCCCTTCTACACTTAAGCTTTTCTGTCTGTTTGTTTTACATCCTTTTTCATTATCTTGGACCGTCAATGAATTCTCCTCATTTCACATTTCCTCCCTCTGCCTTCATTCCCTCTTTTCAATGTTTTCGCAACACAGTATTCTTCCCAACACATTCTGGCAAAAGATGTCTCCCCATAAACCACTCATGATGCTCTGCTTTCAGATACATGCCAGCAGCAATAGTCTGGGTTTGGTATTATATTTCCTGCAACTCATATAGTCATTTCATATCATTACTTCCATGCCACACTTGACAGCTGAGATGCATGCTAGCACTTAGAAACTAACAAATCAAGTAATTATGGCAGGTGGCATTAAAAATGCTATCTCACTTTACTGGATATTGCTCTGGTGTTTCTTTTTGGAAAAAAAAACTGAACTGATCTGCAAAAGTGGATAACTGCTATTATAACAAAACCATTCAGCAAGCTCATAAGACTGATAGCTGAAAGCACTAAGAAAAAGCAAATCTGGAGACTAAGCCAACTCTCTCATCCCTCAATGTACACACATACATTCACAGACATACACTTTCTTCTGTGTTTTGCTTTCTTACTTTTTCTCCCCTATACTGTTCTTTACTGCCTGCTTCTCTAGGCTACATTTTCCTCATTTTCCTACTGTTTCTTTACAGGAATCCTAAAGAATGTCAGTAAGTCTGGGGTATTTTTTTGCAACTGACACTGAAAAATGGACACCAATACAAAAGATATGAAATGAAATGAAAACTGAAGAGTCCATCTGAAAGTGAAGAAAATAAGATGTTCAGATTGGTGCTACATTGAAATGTGGAAACTGTAGCAGTGTTTTGTTCTGACATATTAAAAAATAAAACATAATTGAAACAGCTTTTTCCCCCAAGTATTTTATCCAGTGTTAATAAGGAAAATTTCAACCTTCAAAGCTGCCTTTAAATCAATAATTGTTGTGTTTTGGTAGTATTACTTCTACCTTGATTTTTGAAAATTATTAATCTGTTATATACAGAAACCAAAATGCAGTAAGATACAAAACAAAACAAAAGGCAAAGAAAATCAAATGAATTTATTTCTCAAAAATACAGTGGTATCTCAACTTACGAACTTAATCTGTTTTGGAACAGTGCTTATATGTCGAAAAGTTCGTAAGTTGAAGTACCATTCTCCATTGAAATGCATGGAAACGGAATTACAGTCGTGCCCCGCTTTACAATTACCCCGCATTACGACTAATCCGCTTCACAACGTTTTTCTGATCGCTTTTCAGATCGCAAAACGATGGTCTAAATAGGATTTTTTCGCTTTGCGATGATCTGTTCCCTGCTTCAGGAACCGATTCTTCGCAAAACAATGTTTTTTTAACAGCTGATCACCGGTTTCAAAATGGCCACCAGGAAATTAAAATGGCTCCCCGCTGTGTTTAGGGACAGATTCCTTGCTATACAGGCACCGAAAATGGCAGCCATATAGAGAATCTTCGCTGGACGATGAGTTTTTAGCCCATTGGAATGCATTGAATGGTTTTCGATGTGTTTCAATAGGATTTTTATTTTTGCTTTACGATGTTTTCGCTTAACAGCGATTTTCCTGGAGCGGATTATCGCCATTAAGCGAGGCACCACTGTAATCCGTTTCAACATTTCAAAGAATTACCTTTGGAGGTCTCAAAGGGCTTTCCCCCCGACACCGGAGGAAGCACTTTGAGACCTCCGAAGGCAAAAAAACAGGAAGGGTGGGAAATTCGAATTTCTAGCCCTTTCTTCCTGCTTTTTTGACCTCGGAGCTCTCAAAGGGCTTCCTCCAATGTTAGGGGCAAAGCCCTTTGAGACCTTCGAAGGTGCCAATTGCAGTGGCAGGGACCCTCAGGGAGGTCTCCCAGGGCTTGCCCGCCACCATGGGACACCTCCCTGGGGGTCCCTGCTGCCACAATATGTGCCTTTGGAGCTCTCCAGCCCTTTTCCCCTGCCTTTTTCCCTTCAGAGCTCTCAAAGGGCTTCCTCCAATGTCGGGAGGAAAGCCCTTTGAGACCTCTGAAGGCGACGAATGGCTCCATTTGCAAAAAATCGCATTGACTTGCAAACCAAGCCTCAACCTTGTTCGTAGGTCGAGGCTCCGTTCGCAAGTCGATGCCAATTTTTGCGAACAGAGCCGTTTGTAAATTGAAAAGTTCATATGTAAGGATGTTCATAAGTCGAGGGTTGACTGTAAATCGGTTCTGCTGGAGCTCTCAATACCATAAACCATAGTATCCTTCTGGACCACCTCTCTGGAATGGGACTTGGAGGAACTGTTTTATGGTTGCTCTGGTCAGAAAGTGTTGCTGCAGGAATGCACCACCATGATTAGTGTTGTCTCTCAGGGTCTCTTTTGTCCCTATGCTATTTAACACCTACATGAAACTACTGGGAGAGGTTGTCCAGAGTTTTGTGGTTCACTGTCATCAGTATGTGGATGATACCCGCCCCCCTATTTGTTCTTTCCATCAAAATCCAAAGCAGCTGTTTCAGTTCCAAATTAGGTCAGTAATGGACTGAATGAAAATGAATAAACTGAGACTGAATCCAGACAAGACAAAGGTGTTCCCAGTCAGTCAAAAGGCAGATCAAAGAATAGGGATTCAGCCTGTACTAGATAGGGTTACACTCCCTCTGAAAACAGAGCTGCACAGCTTGGGTTTGCACAGTTAAAACTAGTGCACCTACTGTGTCCATTTCTGGAGAGTTCCGACTTGGCCACAGTGGCACAGGCCTTAATTACATCTCAGCGGGATATAATGTGCTCTATGTGGGGCTGCCTTTGGAAAGTACAGTGGTGCCTTGACTTGAAAATTGGGAAACCCCCCAAAAGCAAACAAACCCCTCAAGACCCATCAGAAATGGGGGAAAAACACTCCAAAAAGCAACCAACCCGCATCGGAAATGGGGGGGACTAAAAAAAACACAACCCCCCAAGACCCATTACAGCACAGAAACATAACCCCTCCCAGCCGAAAACCAAGCTGCAAAAATATGCAGAACAGTTTTTTAAAAGTATAAAGCAGCACCTTACCTTAGTAGGCAGCCTCCTCACATCGCACACTCTCTAACTGCTGGGGCGAAAGAGCTACAAAGAACCAGCTTCGTTGCCACCACCTACAGTTAGCTATTTGAATTTCCCGCCCTTATCCCCTGCCTTTTTGTGTTCGGCAGTCAAAGCTCTGTTCACAAGTCAAAGCAAAATTATGTGAACGGAGCTGTTCGTAACTCAAAATGTTCGTAGGTCAAGGCATTCGTAAGTCAAGGCACCACTGTATTCAGAAACTTCAGCAGGTCCAAAACATTACAGCCAGTTAATTGGGTTCTGGTTACAGGAATCACATAACCCCCACTGCTACAGCAGCTTCACTGGCTGCCAATCTGTTTCAGGGCACAATTCAAAGTGTTGGTTTTAAACTATAAAGCCCTAAACAGCTTGGGTCGAAGTTATTTCAAAAACCTTATCTCCCGGTCCAGGTGTTATGATCATTGGGGAGGTCTTTCAGTCCCACCCCTCCCTCACAGGTGACCTTGGTGGGGACACAAGAGAGAACCTTCTTTGTCGCTCCTCCTCTGGAACTCCCTCCCACAAGAGGGAAGGTTGACCCCATCTTTGCCGTCATTCCACAAGCAGATGAAGACTTTTCTCTTCATGCAGGCTTTTCCTTCGTGACTGAATGTCTTGGAAACAATAAACAGGACGGCTTATATTTTGTCGCTTCTAAATTTGTTTTTTATCATGCTTTTACCTAATATTTTAAATATATTACTACTCTGTTTCCCCAAAAATAAGACCTAATCTGAAAATAAGCCCTAATATGATTTTTCAGGATGCTCATAATATAAACCCTATCCCAAAAATAAGCTCCAGTTAAGTGAAACCCCACCTCCACCACTGTGCAGCAACCAGAAGATGACATGACTGCATTTGAATAAATGTAGATTGTTGTACATGAAAAAAATAAAACATCTCCTGAAAATAAGCTGCATTGCGTGTTTGTTTGTTTGTTTTGGAGCAAAAATTAATATAAGACCCTGTCTTATTTTCAGGGAAACAGGGTACTTCTTTAGTATTTTAATAATCCATTGTTTTTAACTTTTAATATTGTGTTTTAATGATGTAATCTAGCTTGGGTCCTTTTTCAGGAGAAAGGTGGAGTACAAATACCATATTTTTCTGTGTATTTATTTATTTATTTATTTTATATCCCACCTATCTGGTGGGTTAAGACCACTCTAGGTGGCTTACAGCATAACACACACAATAAGTATATATATAAAAACAGTTTTCGCATAATAAAACACATTTCAACAAGATGGGGGCAAACAATGGGGGGAGGAGGAAAGGAAAACATCAGGAATTGACTGGAGGGAAGGCCTGCCGAAACATCCATGTTTTAAATTGATTTTTAAAGATACCCAGCGAGGGAGCGACATGAATCTTAGAAGGCAGGTTGTTCCAGAGGCAAGGAGCCACCGCCAAGAAGGCCCGATTTCTTGTCTTTTCCTTCCGGGCCTCCCTCGGCGTTAGGCTCCTCAGCCTCACCTCCTTGCTCGCACGAGTGACACGGGTAGATCTTGGTGGGAGTAGGCGTTCCGCCAGGTATTGAGGCCCTAAACCATTTAGGGCTTTGTATGTGAGCATCAACACTTTGAAGTTGATGCGGAACCGAATGGGCAGCCAATGCAGTGCGGCCAGAGTGGGTGAGATATGTTGGTATTTTTTCACTCCACTAAGTAGTCTGGCCACTGCACTCTGCACCACCTGGAGTTTCCGCAGCAGCCTCAAAGGCAGCCCCACGTAGAGCGCATCACAGTGGTCTAATCTTGAGATTACGAGTGCATGCACCAAGGTAGTGAGCGCCCCAACATCGAGATAGGACCGCAGCTGGGCTATCCGCCGCCGATGAAAAAAGGCAGTACGGACCACCGACACCACCTGAGTTTCCATAGTGAGCGCCAGGTCCAGATGGATCCCCAAGATGCGGACCCCATCCTTGGGGGGAAGTCACCCCCACAAAAAAAGAGAGGGAGTTTCCCAGGTCCCCAACTGTGGGGGCACCCACCCTCAGTACCTCCGTCTTGTCCGGGTTCAGCCTCAGCCCATTCTCCTGCATCCTCTGCAGTACAGTCCCCAGGCAGCGCTGAAGGGACAGAACGGCATCTCCTGCGGTTGGTGAAAAGGAGATGTAAAGCTGAGTGTCATCAGCATACTGATGACACAATGCTCCACACCCCCTGATGACCCCACCCAGCGGCCTCATATAGATGTTGAACAGCATTGGGGAGATAATCCACCCCTGTGGAACCCCACAATTGAGACTCCACGGGGCCGAGACACTCTCCCCAAGCTGTACTCTCTGGGGGCAGTCCTCCAAGAAGGAACGGAGCCAGGCCAGTGCCAGGCCACCAATTCCCAACTCAGAGAACCTCCCCAGGAGGATACCGTGGTCAATGGTATCAAAGACCATTGAGATGTCGAGGAGGACCAGCAGAGACACTTTGCCCCTGTCAGCCTCCCTCAATAGGTCATCACACGGGGCGACCAATGCCGTTTCTGTACCATGGCAAGGCCTGAAGCCCTACTGAAATGGATCCAGGGCATCTTTTTCATCCAAGTGCAGCTGGT